AAAAAGTACCAGGAGCTTATCTGGCATTTCTGGGATAATCCTCTAGTGCGGGAGATTTTTTCATAACGTGAACGGATGGTGATTGCTTCGAAATTACAGCTGGTGATTGCTTCGAAATTGGTCGTGCAGCATACAATGCCTACGATTACTATCACACGATTCTGTGGATGCAGGAGGCGCGTGAACGTGTCCAGAAGGAAGCTGTCCCAACGGTTTCCCTGGAAGACGTTCTCGAATATCTGGCTTACTCGCTGTACAAACAAGGCAATCTGAAACGCGCCCTGTTGCTCACCGATGAGCTGTATCGGATGAGTAAGTTTTTGTTTATCATTTGCTGTTGAAAAAAGACAACCTTTTCTGCCCGTTCAGTTGATCGCATTTTTTGTAATATTTATTTTCTTTTATTTATTTTTTGTTACATATTTATTTGTTTCTTTATTTATATTATGTATTTTTACATTTGTTATTATATTTTTTCTCATATGTGGTACTGCACTTATTTCACTCTCACTTTTTTTTTAGTTTTATACTTTTGGTACTTATAATACGACTTTGCAATGTAATTTGAGCCAATTTAATCCAGAAAAAAGGTTTTTTAACAGAAAATTGTAGTGAAGAAGAAAAATGTCACACGTTGGGCGATTCTTTTAGAAGGATTGTTTACTGACAAATCATTATACAGATCAAATAACCGTTCGCAGGCTATATGACACCGTTCGCAGGCTATACGCACAAATGAAAATATATTTTCAAACGAAAAGTGGCCCAACCTACCTCAAGCATTTGCACGAGTGTAGAGAGAGTGGAGGAAAATGAGTGTGATTTCAAGCTAAGCTTCGTAAAAAAGTGGCAAAAACGAATTTTTTCGAGATTTACTGTTAATTAAAAAAAAAAAAAAGAAATATGGTAAAATGAAGAGGCCAGGACAGGGACCATGAACTTCGTGCATTAGATTATGGTTTAATTATGATATCTAGTCTGAAATATAGTGGTTAATCTAATAACTTATAGTAATAATAGTAATAAATGTAGTAGGAAACAGAAAAAAAAGAATCTTTCTGCATATTTCATTTTCGGATTATAAGGCCCGAAGAAATAAAATGAAGCATGCTAAATGTAATTAAGTCAATGTTATTTTTCCATGTGAGCGCACTGCTACTTCCGCGTGTTTGCTTGAGAAACTAGGCTAACTGTTTGCAGACCCGGATCATCCGCGAGCAAAAGGTAACGTGAAATGGTATGAAGACATGCTGGAGG